TTATTTATCTTCTTCAATATGTTACATTGCACATTAGTAAATCTATTGAAAATTGTCAAGATGACACATTTTAAATGTTAGAAACCTCGAAATTGTTCTCAATGGCGCCGGTGCATTTATTATTTGTGTTCTCTCAAATCCTAATCTTCTGGGTTCTTCAACACCTCTAGTTTTGACTTTCTAAACTTTTCCCACTGAATCATACTTCTTGAATAATATCTTCTAATCCTAACCTCTCCGATTACTCCTAATACCTTTACTACCTCTTCTACTATTGGATTTGAATTGACAATTACATCTCTGTGCTAATGTGGTATGGCGACATGAACTGATGTACTTACGTACGAAGTTCTACGTTGCATCTGACTGACTGACTGACCATTAGAAACCTGAAAGCATTGAACGGCCCATTCATCCTAGTATGAGACTCATCTGAGGTGCTCATCCACGATGCCTGAATGTGGAAATAAAACCTGTGACCTCTAGACCACTGAATCGGCCAGCATCCGACCGTGGTAATGTCTAACTTCAGTCAGTCCACAAAAATCGTCAAGATGAAACTGAAAACATTTTAAATATCAGTACCGTTAAAAGTTGTTTTTTTCTCAAATCAAAAAGAATAGAGGAATATTATTAATTATTATGATTAATTACTTAATATTTCTTATCTAAAGATTTTAATCATCACTCAAACTCTCAATCCAATCAAAATATTTCAGTATGTGGTGTGTGTGGTGTGCTAATGTATCACTAGTCTCGTAACGGTCGATATTCAACATATTCTTAGTCTTCGTAATTTGCTTGTCTAGGAAATCGTCACCAAAAATAGCTCCAGTCAGTCAGTCAGTCAGATGCAACGTAGAACTTCGTACGTAAGTACATCAGTTCATGTTGCCATACCACATCAGCACAGAGATATAATTGTTAATTCAAATCCAATAGTAGTAGAGGTAGTAAAGGTATTAGAAGTAATCGAAGAGGTTAGGATTAGAAGATATTATTCAAGAAGTGTGATTTAATGAGAAAAGTTTAGAAAGTCAAAACTAGAGTTCTTGAAGAACCCAGAAGATTAGGATTTGAGAGAACACAAAGAATAAATGCACCGGCGCCATTGCAAACGATTTTGAGCCATGTCATTCAAGGTCTCTAACCATCGATTATTATCATCTCACGGACCCCAACCAGGTAGTCGACAATTACCGACATGGCTAAGTCCACTCGTCAATGACTTCATGGATTTCTGCCATGTTTGGGTTTGGCCGCCCCTAACTTTCTTCCAACCTATTCCTACACTACAAAACAAAGCTCGACGAGGCAGTCGGTGGTTAGGCATACGCAACACATGTCCCAACCACCTCAACTGATGAAGTTTCATTACTTCATCTATTGATCTGCCATTCTTACCTAGCAACCGATTCCTAATAACAGCGTTGCTCACTTGGGTGTCCCACGATATACGAAAAAATAGCTCCTGACGGTCATAAATCAGAAGGCATAAACAAGAGGGGTTGAATACGTTTATTTTTTTGACACACCACAAAATGGACCAGCAGATCATAATCACACAGAGAAGGGCAAGCATACTAGCGAGCGAGTTGGCAAATGTACGAATGAATGAATAAGATTAAAATGTTCGTATATATACATAGGGAAATGTCGAGTCATCAAGATATTTAAGAGATTAACATTAAAGCGAATAGGATGAATATACGCGTATGCGGTAGGCAATGTTCAATTGTACCAGCTCATACAAACCACACAATAATAAAAGCCAATGGTACATATAAATTGTTGCTATGTCAATGGCTTGGTTAAATAAGTTAATCGAAAGGCTTAACCAAATTAAATATAAGCGAACTCAAATGTATGTGGAGGCTTTACAAGTGAGTGACATCTCTTCTTACTAGTCCCAATACAGGACATGCTATTGGAGTAGGGGTGTAGTGAAGGAGAATACAGGTGAGAGCAACCGAATTGTATTTAACGAAAATTACAGAGTTACTCAGTAAGATAGGAAAACCATATCGTAAACGGTTAATTTGCAAATCTTCGATCCATTGTCTGACATTTCACTATTCATGCGTTTCATACAAATTCCATTGTGTTCCCACTCTTCCTTTCTTGATCTTCCCCCATCTTCTGCTGCCAGACATTAGGTTTACACTCACGTCATATACTACTTATAAGTAGCGCGCACCACAGGGGAATGGTTCAGAGACCTTAAATCAATGATTGTTAGACCATCATTAGAAACCTGGAATCACTGAAAGACGGCCGTTTTGTTATAGTATGGGACTCAGCAGCAGTGCGCATCTGTTGGGGATGTTAGATCCTCAGAACTCGCTTGATAAATATCACTCTTTTGGATTTATTTCATGGACCGATCAGTTGATCTTGAGATCACATTTTCCACCAGGAGAATCCTTGGCTGTGATTGGTTACTGTGTTATTTTAGTGAGATATTTTGTGACTCCCCCAAGGACGCCTCTATGGGGTATAAATAAACGTGATTTGTGTGTTTGGATTCATGGTGTGCTTGCTTGGCGTTTGTAGAATACACTTCCTACTCTATATCAAGACTTATTCTGGTACAATTGGGACAATCGGATCAGAGTAGCCTACCTGGACGCTGGTTCATAGTCTCGTTCTCGTTTATCGACTAAGGTGAACCCGTAATCGTTTTAAGCATACCTAGAGACGAGTATTACACCATCTTTGAATCCTTTTACTCGCAGGATTTGAACCTAAGACCTTCGTTATGGCACACGAACACCTAACTTCTAGATCATTGGGCCGAAATCGAACGGTGTTTCTGAAAATTTAAACATGATAAACATAAATTGCCGAAATTACTACTTATTAGTAGTATCAATGGTCTTATTATGTAAAGGATAACCAAACTAGGTTTTACGTTTTTCCAAAATATACTACCTATTTCAATGAAATTGGGACAATAGACTATTCTAATAAATATTATGTATTCTGATTTCAAACATACCACTTAAACAAAGTCACCCATAATATATTATTTTATATTTCATATCATTCAAAAAACACAAATTATCAATATGAGCTGAAGTGTTTTTGCCATTTAAATGGTTTTTGATCGTTTTTTTACTGAATGAACGGACATATTCCAGAAAACGTAAACATTTCAAACTTATTATTTCAATCGAATCGCTTGTGCTGAGAAATACTGTTCCACTGTAAGATAGATTAGGTTGGTTGTTTGAAGACAATACACAGGATGCCATCAAGTTAAGATGATATATCCTGAGAAGAAATATTTCCATTCTTGATATAGCTGATATCCCTTCCTCTCAAGGGATTATATCCTATTGAGAAGTACTCACACATACTCCAAGCTTTGTAAGGATCTATTTAAACTATGTGATTCTTCTAAGAAAATGTCTATTATTGCATATTACTCTTGCTAGTAATATCACAAGTCAATTATGTCATGGTAACTTTGTAGGTTGTATTATTTGTGTTCGGTTGATATCCACTACAGCCTGCTTGTAAACTCTTTCATATAAAGTGTTTGAAACTACTATTTATAATTAAGTAGTTCATGATTTATTATTAAAAAAACTTCATTTCTAGCCTATTCGAAATTGTTCAATCACTATATTGGTCTGCTTATGGTTTGATTGATTTGACAAGTTTCAATTTGGAATATCCACATGTATTTACGGAGTTTGTAGGTAATCCTAATAGATATTTTTTATGAACCTCAATTTTTGAGTCTTTTATCTTTGCAATTACACTATACGTAAATAACTATGGTAAACACTACTGAAATGTAACACTCGAATGAAATTGTCGATTTGTTATAAATCATCAAACCAATTCTTCAATGCAAGTGTTATTGTTATTTTGTATTTATTGATGAGATTTGGGCATGTGTGGTTGTATATAAAACATGTAAGTTTAAAATTTACAATTCGTACAGTAGAATCTGGTTACTGACTTCTGGACTTCACAGGCCGTGTTGGGAGAGTGTTGTGGACCGATAAGAATTTAGTTGCTAACTAAAGGTTATTAGAGCGAAATCGTATTCTGCACTATATCTTGTTTTGTCACGGGATATTAGTCACTGTTCAAGGAGACAACACTTCTACATTTTCATTGAACTCTGTTTTGCTGTTAACGAACTGATGAGTGTAAATATTTCATAGTCATTGGAAACAGTATAGACTGTAATAATATTTCTTTCAGTCAATAATTGTCTCGGTGCAATGAATGCAATCTGATCATTTGTTTAATTCTATCACTGTTTACTGCTCAGAAATCTCAGTGATAACATCTACGACATTTACGACACATAATCGAATCCAACAGTAATCTTCATTTCTCTCAAGATTATAGGTACACCTTGCTAACTGGTACCAACTAGCGTAATAACTCAATTTAGGATTTAATATCTAATACCTGCACCTGACATCTCAACATGATGAATAGCGTGAATCCACACTAGAATTTGATCGTCAGCATCCAGTCAGTACCAAAAGGTCAAGGCAAATCTGACATTGGTCACTATTCAGTGATTACTCAACCAAATATGGCAATATCTAGAACCTAACTTTTTACTAGTTAGTACATTTTTACAAGCTTTATCTGCAACATTCCAATACATGTTGACAAGTGACGTAGTCAACGATAATCTTCGATCACTAATCTTTTTGATTACCACTAATACTTCTACTACCTCTACTACTATTGGATTTGAATTGACAATCTCATTTCTGTATGCTGATGTGGTATGACAACTTGAAATGATGTACGTACGCACGAAGTTCAACGTTGTAGATGACTCACTGACTGACTGACAGTTAAAGATAAATCACAGACTACTGCAAATTATTACCAAACACAAAATGGTAATAAATATACTTTCAAAGCTGGTTGATTCTATTCATTTGGCATTGATCCTGATTCATATAAATTCATTGAATCTATTGTCTAAATTGCAATTTTTTATGCAGAAATCAATCATCATCACTAAGGATTTCATAAAAATAATACAAAATTACATTGAATGATTACTTAATTTTGTAGATAAATGATTGTTAAAAAAACCAGTTATTTTGATGTCATATTTGTACTATGCCACTGAAAATATGTAGGTTTACAGAATAAACTATCTTGGACAACTGATTGTCGAAAATATTTTCTAAGAGATTCATTTATCATAACCCTTTAACATGATTTATTGATAAATTTTATTTTAAAAATTTGCCTACTTACAGTAGTATAACTCGTTTTATTAAATTTTAGTTAGAACTATCATTTGTTTGTTTTAAAATTTTATTATTCAGGTAAACTGACATTTGGCACTTATTCTTATATTGCTTTCATTGTTTTGTTGAATATGTTAATCGCAATGATGAATAATTCATATGAACAAATTGTTGTAAGTTGTATTTATTTATATAAAAATCTACTTTGAGACTCAATTGTTTTATTTTTTCCCAATATAAATTTTATACTTGTATATAATGAATGTCGTAAATTAGTGATCAAATATTTCATTCTTTCAAGACTATTTAACATCACATTAGCAGATGAACGGTGATTTAATTAACTAATGGAAGGCTCTGTGTATAATTCGAAGTCACTAGGTAAAAATCATGTCAGTCACAACGTAGAACTTCGTACGTTCGTACATAAGTTCAGGTTGCCATACCATATTAGCACAGAGATGCAATCGTCACTTCAAATCCCATAGAATTAGAGATATTTAAAGTATTAGAAGCAGTCGGAGAGATAAGGGTTCAACGATATTATTCAAGAAGTAGAATCTAGTGAAATAAACTTAAAAGCAAAAGGTAGAGGTGATGAAGAACTCCAAATGTTAGAATTTGAGAGAACACAACAAGTGGATGGGCCTACGCCATGTCATTCAAGATCTCTAACCATCGACTACTATCATCTCGAGGACTCCAACCAGGTATTCGACACCTACTGACATGGCTCAGTCCACTTGTCAGTGACTTCTGCCATTTTTCTGTTCGGTCGCCCCTAGCTTTCTTCCGACCTATTCCTACATCGCAAAATATAGCCCAGCGAGGCAGATTGTTTAGCATAGACTGTGTATCTATTCACATTTCAATATATAAAAGATTTTTGAAACTATCAATCGACCATTACTAGGCCAACATTAGAAACCTGGAAGTACTAGACGGGACTCATCATTAGTGCACACCCAGGAAAAAACAAAAGATTTTAATGTACTTCAAGTCGAAAATGGCGGCGTAGAAATATTATTAGTTCAAACTAAGTTCATATACTTGTTGAAGAGAATTTCAAATTTGAAATTAGCAAAGTCAAATCTTGTTAATTATATCGATTAAAACATATGTGCGATCATTCTCTACAGAATAGTTCTAAAGGTTACATCCCCCTTAAATATTCACTTTGATATAACTTATTTACATCGGTTGCCCATTATGGAGTATAGGCCACCGACCACCATCCTTCAACCAACTCTGCCCTGGGCCTTCCTTTTCAGTTCTATCCAATCGCTGTTTATTCTTCTCATGTCTGCCTTCGATTCTCGACGTGACGTGTTCTTTGGTCCTTCTCTTCTCATTTGGCCTTGAGGATTTCAAGCGAGGGCTCATCTTCTGATGCAGTTTGGTGATTTCCTCAATGTGTCCTATCCGCTTTCAGCGTTTTTTCCCTACTTCTTGTTTAACTGTGATCTAGTTTGTTCTCTAACACAGTAGGTTATTGATGATAGTGATTGGCCAACCAATACTATGTATCTCACGTAGACAATGGTGAATATATACCTGTATTTTCCGGATAATGGCCTTCGTGGTTTTCCAAGTTTCTGCCCTATACAGTAGAATTTTATTGACGTTTGTATTGAAAATGTTGACTTTAGTATTTGTTGATAGTTCTATTTGTTAGGATATTCATCCAATATCCTAAGAGAATTATTGGTCAATTCCTATTAGTTAATTCCTACTGGTCAATTTTATGGTCGTCCTAGATATCAATGTCACGTGCTCCAATGTTGTTTCTTATTGGTTGTCCTGACTATGAATGTCACTTCAAATGTTGCTTCCTATTGGTCGTCCTAACTGTCAATGCCACAGACTTCGATGCTGTTTCCTATTCGACCAAAATGTATAATACGCACTATTTGTGACGTTTTATGATCACGACCAGGACCAGGGTTTGGTCCCGGATCCCTAGTCCAGGATCCTGATTCTGTTTTGGATTCGGACCTAGTACTTTCTGGATACTTGTAGAATACAGGTTCTACTTCGTATCACGTCATCTTATTTTAACTAAATATGGAGGTTGGGATAATCGGATTTGAGTAGCATGTCGTGTCGCCGGATCCTTGCTCTCTTTTTCCGACTAGGTAAACTCGTAATAGTTCAAGTATATCTAGTTGACGTGTTTACGTGCAGGCGTAAGAGTATTAAGTTCCAGATGTTCTTAAATTGAAATAATCCTGCACTTGCTCTGCCAATGCGTGCCTTCACATCAGATTCACCTTGTTAATCAATGATACAGCTGAGATATGTAAAGGTTTCTTCCAGAGATTCTCTATCAAGTATGATTTGGTTGGTGCATAGAGAATCTTTAGAGGATGTAAACACCTTTACATGTCACAGCAGCATCTTACTTTGACATAAGAAATATACATATATTTATTACATACAATTTTGAACCATTGAGTTGAACTCAATTCAATTCTATTGATTATTGAAACTGTTAATCTGCATAATTTGTTTATTCAAAAATGAATTTCCTTTCTTCTTCTTCTTCTTCTTCTTTTTTGCTTAAAAAAATTAGGGTCAAGTTGATATTGAATGGAAATTTGCTCGATCCAAATTATGGATTAGTTATTTTGGTGAAGGTTGTACTGTACCAGTCCCATTTAATATTATACCTACACCAAAAACATTTATGTATATGTTAAATTCAATGAAAAATTTCTTTTTAAATTGTTCTAAAAAGAAAAAATTACATCATAATCATTGGGAAACAATACGAGTAAGTAGTGGATATTTCTTCAGTTAAAACTTTGGAGATTTGTGTGTTTTTTTTACACACATTTGTGAAATCATCAATCAGTGATTGTTAGACCATCATTAGAAACCTGGAAGCCCTAAAAGACGGCCGTTTCGTCCTGGTATGGGACTCATCAGCAGTGCGCATCCACGACTCTTGTATCTCTCAGGATTCGAACCTGGGACCTTCGGTATTGTGCGCGAACGCCTAACCATCAAACCATTGGGCCTGCATCCAACGGTGTTAATGTCTAACTCTGATTGATCTAGGGATTTTGCGCGACCTCACCCATTTGTCTTTGGTAGTTACTGCTTACACCCGACAGGGTTGAACTCCATTGGTCCCGGTTTCGAATCCTGTGAGTTGCAGGAGTCGTGGATGCGCACTGACACTGAATAGTCCCATGAAGGGACGAAAAGGCCGTCCAGTGCTTCCAGGTTTCTAATTGTGGTGGTCTAACAATGATTGATTGATGATTTCAAATGTGTAAGTGGATTTTTTTTTCGTGGGGTGTATTATTTTTGAATTGTATGAAGTACTTGAAGATGATATTCATAATTGAACATGATGAATGATAGATGTTTCTCTTTGTTTATATGAAACTTCTCAGCCGTGTGAGAATTTATTCACGTCTAGAACCCACTGGTATCATAGCGAATGAACCCTATTTGACATTGGTTTTATGGTTAGTTGGCATTCATCATTTAGGCGTAACTTTAATTATGGATTAAGTGATGCTCTATGCTGAATTTAAACTGTCATCATCCGGTTTTGCATTCTAAGACCTCGATAATGTGTTTTTTGAGCAGCAGTGGGAAAGTGAAGTAGAAAATGAGACTGTATCAACTTCATTTGACAAGTAGTGACTAATTATTTACATCTAGAAAAAAGTAAGTTAAGGAACACGTGATGAATAGAATAAGGTATACAAATGCATACACTTAAACAAATGAACACTGAAGATAATTGATGATAATCACGCATTATGATGGATTGATTGTAAGTAGACACTACTGTGCAGCAGTTTTCTCCGTCCTACTATATGGATGCGAAACATCGCCGGTAAGAGTGGAAGCTGTTCGTAGGTTACTAGTATTCGATCATAGGTGTATCCGAAGCATTGCTCGTTTATCCTGGGACAACCGAGTAAGCAATGCTATAGTTAGGAAACGGGGACTAGGTTGGGATGGCAGATTGAAACTTAATTAGTTGAAGTGGATGGGACATGTGTTACGAATGCCTAACCACCGAGTGCCTCGACCAGCTATGTTTTATGGTGTAGGAGTAGGTTGGCAGATATCTAAGGATAGCCAAACCAAAACATGACACATATACATGAAGTCACTGATTTCTGGAATGAGTCATCTTGGTAGATGTAGACTACCTGGTTAGGGTCCGTGATACCAAAGTAACCGATAGTTAGAGACCTTGAATGACATGGTTCAAAATCGTTTGTACTGGCGCAGGTGCATCCACAATTTGTGTTCTCTCAAATTCTAACCTGAATTCCTTGTTATCTCTATCTACTTCCTTCTAAATTTATCTCACTGAATTATACTCCTCGAATCATCATAGCGTTTTGTAGAATTAGCACAGAGAGAAGGAGTCGTCAGTTGAAATTCCATATTGTTGGAGGTTAGCGTAATCGGAAAGATTAGGAGTCGAAGATATGATTCGAGAAGTTTAATCAAGTGAGGTACACTTAAAAAGTGGGAAAAAGTGATGAGGGATTCAAAAGACTAGAATTTGAGAGAGGACAAAGGATGGAGGCATCTACGCCGTGGCAAACGATTTCGAGTCACCTCATTCAAAGTCTCATGGACCTCAAGCAAGTAGTCTACCCCTATTAACACGGCTCAGTCCAGATGTCAGTGACTTCATGTATTTGTACCATGTTTTGGTTTGACCGCCCCTACCTTTCTTCTAGTTTGCCCTACATTAGATAATATCTCTCGTCGAGGTAGTTGGTTGTTAAGCTTACGTAGCATGAGAAAGTTTCAACTTTTATCGATGTTCAGTTCATTCAAACCTTTTTTCGCTATCACTAATAATTTCTAATTAAGTCTGAATAAACTGTTGTCTTTTAATGATTACTAAATATGGCAGATATCAAATAATATTGAAAACCATCAGTGAAAGTTTTTAAGAATAAACATGTGTTGACTGAACACATCTAAAATATGTATAAATTAATAAGAATGTCAAAGGCATAAGATTGCTACAATTAAATGAATTAAATATCATGAATCCACGTAAATAATACAGAAGACACTCGAAAATTGACTTACAACAACATAGGTTACTTAATATTTATAAGTAACATAGTATAGTATATTAGAAAAAAAATCGAATGAGTTAAAAACGGTGGCAATGAGATCAGGCACTAGGAACACTGAAATATGAATAATCAATTGTAGTTAGAAATCCAACTCATCAAAGCAATGCCTAGCTGTGCTTTGAATGTATTTAACAAGTATGACGATAAATACAAGTAAAAGAAGTGAGTAATACTGAATCACTCAGAAGATTTGTAATTGAGAAGATATAAAGCGTTTGTGTAAGGATATTATTGCGTTATATAGTGATTTTGTTAACCTTGTAATGATCCCGTTAATAATGAGAATCAATCAGTCAGTCAGTTACAACGTAGAACTTCTTAATTATGTACATCAATTCTAATTGCCATACAACATTAGCACAGAAACGCAATCGTCAATTCAAATCCCATAGTAGTAGAGGTAGTAGTGTGGTGCGCGCTACTTATAAGTAGTATATGACGCGAGTAAAAACGTAATGTCTGGCAGCAGAAGATGGAGGAAGATCAAGAAAGGAAGAGCGGGAACACAATGGAATTTGTATGAAACGCATGAACAGTGAAATGTTAGACAATGGATTGATGTTTGCAACAGAAACAGTCCAGTTCGATATGATGGATTGATATTTTGCAAATGAACGATTTACGATATGGTTTTCCTATTTTACCAATTAACTCTGTAATTTGAGATAAATGCAATTCGGTTGCCCTCACCTGTGTTCTCCTTCACTACAGTAGTAGAAGTATTAGCAGTAATCGAGAAGATTAGTAATAATGTGAATAGTCTGACAGCTAACAGGAAACTGAAACCATGTCAAGGGATTTCAACTAAACGCTTATGCGCTCGCTACCTACTGGACAGTCAAGACAATTCTAACTAAATTTAATTTTAATAGAACAATGAGAAAACGTAGTTGAGATAGTGGAGAAAACTTGTAGCTCAGGTGGATGATTGTGGTGATGTTTCGTTCTCTGAGCTGGTTGTTTTGGTTGTGGAACTTTCATTGTTCTTCTGAACAACATCATCAGCACAAACTTCAGGTAGAAGAAGTGAAGCATTCGAATTTCTCTACGTTTGACCTGTAGCTTGTTCTGCTAACCTCGATCTTGATTGGTTGCTGTTGACTTTTGACCTGTCACTGTTTGCACATTTGTTTCGATTGTATCCCCCTTTTGATCTGTTGCTTGATACTATATCACCTATGATTACAAAACGTAGTTGATCTGAAAAATGTTATAATGTATTTGCGCTATACACTTTGAACAAATCTGGTCATATATATATACACTTGTAAAAGCATTTTATTTAAAATGTACTAATGGTCAATTACAATAAAAGTACAAATACACATAAGGTGATCACTTCAAGGTCAAAGGAGATAGAGAGAGAGAGAGGAACAGGAAATTGTAAATTTAACCTAGGCCACTCGATGACTTAAATATAACCGTGGTAAATTCAAGGTTACGATAAATTTTGTTTCTGTACACATAAGGAGAGTTTTAATTCGCGTATAGTCCTTAACAATTTCTATACAACGTTTTAAAAGCTGTCTTAATGTCAATCCGATGCTCCGGTTCGATTATGTGTTTTGGTATTGATGAACATGGTTTGGGTAATTTTTTATCATTACGATAATTTAGTGTGAATGACAGATCTGTACTGTACACTGCACTATTTCCAGAGACCATATCTTATTACTTGTCATTTAAAATAAGCATAGACAGCGTTTGAATTTTGTACTTCATTTAGATAGAACCTCTAATTCAATTTTTATCATACATAAATCAGATTTTTTAATTTTATGGTTTGCATCAATGACTGATCTTAGCTTGACAATAAATGACAACCAGGAAACAGTTGGTAGAAGTTTCATTTTAATATGGGACTCTTCAGCAGTAAGCATTGATGACTTCATCAGAGACTAACAATATAGAATCTTCAGGTCTCATGACAAGTGCTTAGATTTTAGACCAATGAGTTTCTACTTAAATGGTCCAATAAATTTTTTAATAGTATATGAACACTATCCATTACCATACGTGATTGGAATGGTTCTCATCTAGCCAGAAAGTACCTTGTGTACTAGGGTAGCACGCACAGTAGCTTCAGCGAGAAGAACTGAAAAAGAGGCAAGCAAGAGCAGAATTGAGATGACAACCTAGCAAGTGCACAAAATGCATTTACATTTTTTTTTAAAGGATAACGATAAGTAATAATCAGCAATTATGCAAACTCCACCTGGAGTCCTTCTGAGGTTACTGCCGTTCCCAAGACAGGATATACGAGGAGAATTGGGCGTAAAGTTAGATCCTCCATCGCTTAAGAATCCAACTTACTCAAAAAACGCCGACTAGGAAAAATAATCCACTGGTCGGCGACCTATGCTCCGTAAGGGGTGACGGGTGTAAGTAATTAATTAAGTAAGTAAGTAATTGCTCAAGCTTCAGATTCAGTGAATCTTGAAAACAAAACTAAGAGCAAATAGCATCAAGAATTCGAATTGTTACAGTAATATCATTGAACGAAACAACTGTCCAATACAGCATAGTTTTTTGTCTAACTAAATAAATCAATTCCTGCTGCAAACTATACCATCTAACTGTTAGGATATTCATCCAATATCCTAAGAGAATTATTGGTCAAATCCTATTGGTCGATTTCTATTGGTCAAAATTATGGTCGTTTTAACTGTCAAAGTCAAATACTTCAATGTTGTCTCTTATTGGTCATCCTGACTATCAATGTCAGTTCAAATGTTACTTCCCATTGGTCAGCTTAACTGTCAATGTCACAGAATTCAATGCTGTTTCCTATTCGACCTAAATGTATAAATATGCATTATCTGTAACGTTTTATAGGACGCAGCTGGACGATCTGGACTTCGCAGATGACCTGGTTCTCCTATCGCACACGCAAAAACAAATGCAAGAGAAGACGACCAGTGTAGCAGCAGCCTCTGCAGCAGTAGGTCTCAACATACATAAAGGAAAATGCGAAATTCTCCGATGCAACACAACATCCACAAACCAAATCACTCTTGATGGAGATGCTTTGAAGGACGTTAACAACTTTACATATCTGAGCAGCATCATCGACGAGAAAGGTGGATCCGATGCAGATGTGAGGGCACGGATTGGCAAAGCAAGGGCTCTATTTCTACAGTTAAAAAATATCTGGAACTCCAAACAACTTTCAACCAAAATCAGGATATTCAATACAAATGTGAAGACAGTTCTACTGTATGGAGCGGAAACTTAGAGAACTACCAAAGCCATCATCCAGAAGATACAAGTGTTTATGAACAGTTGTCTACGCAAAATACTTCGTATTGGTTGGCCAGACACCATCAGCAACAACTTACTTTGGGAGAGAACAAACCAGATTCCAGTGGAGGAGGAAATGAGGAAGAAGCGGTGGAAGTGGATAGGACACACACTACGAAAAGCACCTGACTGCATCACGAGACAAGCCCTCACATGGAACCCTCAAGGCAAAACGAAAAGAGGAAGGCCATGGAACACATTACGCCGAGAAATAGAGAAAGATATGAGAAGAATGAACAAACACTGGACAGAACTGGAGAGGGAAGCCGAGGACAGAGTTGGTTGCCTAAAACTGGTGGGCGGCCTATGCTCCATTGGGAGTAACAGGCGTAATGGAATGGAATGTAACGTTTTATGACCACGACCAGGGCTCGATTCAGGATCCCTGGCCCGGGATCCTGATTCTCTTCTGGATTCGGGCCTCTTACTTCTGAATGCTTGTAGAATACAAGTTCTACTTCATATCAAGTCTTCTTATTTTTACTTATAATGGGGCGGGCTGGGATAATCGGGTTTGAGTAGCATGTCGTGTCACGCGCCGGATCCTCGATTCTCGCTCTCGCGTTTCCGACTAAGGTAAACTCATAATAGTTCAAGTATATCACGCTGACGTGTTTACGTGTAGGCGTAACACTAACAATCATAAAGCTTCATTTTCTTTTTAGTTCGCCATTATTTCTAAAACTAGTTTCTTCATTTCAATTTTTTTCTCCTCTTCTATTTCAATAGTTACGCATAAAACAAGTGAAAGAATGTGAATTACGTTATCGAAATGTGATGCATGAATTAACTAAACGTTACATCATGCAAAAATTACAATCCAATGAAAATGATTTAGTTAGTGCAGATGATTTAAGTGAAATTAAAGGTGATATTAGTGCATTTCGACATGAATTATTAGATATACTGAAATCGAATGGAATGAAAATACCAGCATATCATAAAACAGGTAATTCTCATTCATTGATTATTATGTTGAATTGTTCTTACTGTATATTCTGTGTAGATCAATCAACATGCTTACAACATATTGTCGTAACGTTTGCTTAAATATAATTCCCAGCTAATTCCTATTGCTTAGTATTTATTCTCTGACCACATAATACACTGGACAAGTTCCAAAGAACCAAAAACACGGTTGAACAAATAGCCAATGTTAAATGGAAATAAGAAGCCGAAGGCGAAGGCGAAATAGATACAACGTTAGTTTCTTTATAGTATTTACATGAGAAGCTTCTGGATAGTAATTCACATGATCGACTGGATTAGATTTAGCCAATCAGCATGCAGCTAACAACACGAGAATTTTTTTACCCTATTCTCCAAGAATCGATCAGGCGCTGATTGGATAGGAAATTAGCCAATCAGCGCGCAGCTGACGCAGTCATGCTTTATTTCCATCTATGTCCCACTAACACGGATACACAGAAAAGTTCACATGACTGCCAAATGGAAATTGAATTCCCCCCAAAAAAACACTGACTTCATTCAGTCGGTATATAGCAAAAATTGAAACTTCTGAGAAAACTAGCTTCTACAGCCTTGTGTCCTTTAACTTTTGGCTAATATCACATGACACAAAAGAAAAACACCAATCAGAATATGGTCACACCCTAGTAACCTAGGCATTCTTTTCTAGTTCTATCTGATTACAATTTATTCTATTCATATCAGTCTCCGATTCTTGGTGTACTTTGTTCTTTGGTTTTCGTTTTTTTCCTTTGGCCTTGAAGATTCTAAGTTAATGGCTTATCTTCTGATGCAGTTGGGTGGTTTCCGCAATGTGTGTGTAACTTCAGCCTTTGGTTGGTTTGCGTTTAGCCAGGAGGTACTTTGTTCTACATGTGTCCTATCTGTTTTCAGCGCGTTTTCCTGGAATCACGTTTGTTTTCTCACACAGTAGGTTGTCTAATCAATTTATCCAAAGTATCTCACATTGATAAAAGTTTATAAACACCTGTATATTTTGAGTGATGACTTTGGTAGTTCTGCAAGTTTCTGCTCCATAACACGGAACGGTTTTGATGTTCGTATTGAGAATTGTGACTGTGGTGTTGGCCAACCGACAGTTGTTGTGAGTTGTGGATTTTATCAAATTGTTGAAATGCTGCACTTATTATGCCAATCCGTGTTAAAAAATCTGTTTCTGATCCACCTTGTTTATCAATGATGCTGCCCAGATATATAAAGGTTTCCACATCTTCCATAGCTTTTGCATCAAGTGTGATTCGGTTGATATACGTTGTGTTGTATTGAAAGATTTCACTTTCTCGCCTGTGTATGTTGAGACCTACTACTTCAGAGACGAAAGGTCCTGGAACACAGACACACATTTAGGCATCCTACAATAGTTGTCTTCCTGGACCTAAAGGTGACATTCGACTCTGTGGATCGTGAGGTTCTATGGCAGTGTCTGTCATTGGAAGGTGTACCAAAGAAGTACATTAACCTTATACAAGCTCGCTACTCTAAAACTACTGGTCGGGTGAGAGCATATGGCGAACTGTCATCGGAATTCTTTACTTCAAGTGGTGTCCGTCAGGGATGTCCACTTTCTCCGTTCTTGTTTAATTTTGTCATAGACATGCTACTAGATACAACGTTATCCCCGTCTGACTTTTCAGGAGTCGATTTTCTACCAGCGGCTACGCTTGCTGACTTAGAATATGCCGATGACATAGTTCTATTCGGTGAAGACGCTGACAAAATGCTGAGTCTTCTGATTACCCTAAGCAACAATACAAGCATATTCGGGATGCGGTTTTCCAACTCGAAATGCAAAATGTTGCTTCAAGATTGGGTCTCATCGGTACCTGAACTAGTGATAGGGAGTGAAGAAGTCGAGCGTGTTGATCGCTTCACTTATCTTGGGAGTCTTATCAGTGCTGATGTCCTGGTGACTGACGAAATCTCAGCTCGGATACAGAAGGCTCGATTGGCTTTTGCCAACCTGCGTCACTTATGGCGCAGGCGAGATATCTGCTTGTTAACCAAAGGACGAGTGTACTGTGCAGCAGTTCGCTCTGTCCTACTATACGGATGCGAAACATGGCCGTTAAGAGTAGAGGACATTCGTAGGTCACTAGTCTTCGATCATAGGTGTATCCGAAGCATTGCTCGGGTATCCTGGGACGACCGAGAAAGGAATGATATCGTTAGGAAACGAGTTCTAGGTAAGGATGGTAAATCAATAGATGAAGTAGTGAAATTTCATCAGTTGAGGTGGTTGGGACATGTGCTACGTATGCCTAACCACCAACTGCCTTGACGAGATATGTTTTGTGGTGTAGGAGTAGGTTGGAAGAAAGTTAGGGGCGGCCAGACTAAAACATGGCACAAATACATGAAATCACTGACAAGTGGACTGAGTCATGTTGGTAGATGTAGGCTATCTGGTTGTGGTCCGCGAGACGAAAGTCACCAATGGTTAGAGACCTTGAACGACATGGCTCATAATCGTTTGCAGTGGCGCCAGTGCATCCACTGTTTGTGTTCTCTCAAATTCTAACCTTCTGAATTCCTCATAATCACTACCTTTCTCATTCTAAATTTATCTTACTGAATTATACTTATCGAATCATATCTTCGCTCCCTAGTCTTCTCCATTACTGCTAATAATTCTACTATCGCTATCACTCTTGGATTTGAATTGACAGTTACGTCTCTTTGCTGACCTGAACTGATGTACTTATGTACGAAGTTCTGCGTTGTATCTGTCTGTCTGCCTGTCTGACTGCTTCAGAGGCTGCTGCTACACTGACCGTCCTCATCTGTATTTGTTTATGTGTGTGAAACAGAAGAAGTTTGAATTGTCCAACAGCACCCGAGCTGTTCACTATATATATATATATATATATATATAGTTGTTCTACAAAAAACCTCTAATCTTTTAAACATATTGAAAAACATATTTTCATGTAAAAGAAATTCATTGGTCAAAAATAAAATGGTTGGATTCAATCATTATTGAACATTTAACTTGCACTCGATATATTTAAACATGGCTAACTTCTCATGCGTGTTATGAATTGAGACAGTGTATTTATTTAACTGTAAACCTGATAAGAATTTATTGAAACGTAAATATTTTTTTAATTTACGCATGCTCTCTCTGTCTCTCTAATCAGCTTATGTTCTTAAGATCATGTGATTAGTTGATCTGGTCACAAAGATTCACATTATCCGGTGACATGATTAGTTTGTAGGTTAATCACATCACTTGAGCTTTTCAATACACTTAATTGATAATAACTAACTGGTTTAAGATTTGGATTGATGGTTTCATGGAGTTAGTTTGTTTACAACTTTTGTTGTTGTCGATCAGTTACAACATAGAACTTCGTACGTACGTACATCATTTCAGATTGCCATACCACATTAGTACAAAGACGCAATTTTCAGTTCAAATCTCTTAGAAGTAGAAGCAGAACAAATCATGGAGAAGAGTAGGGTCCGAAGATATAAATCTAGAAGTACAAACCAGTGGAATAAATTTAAGGAGAGACAGATAGAGGTGATGAAGAATTAGGAAATCTACATTTTGAGAGAACACAAAGAGTGGATGCAGGTGCACCATTGCAGACGGTTTTGAGCCATGTCCATTGAAGCTCTCTAACCATCGGTTACTATCATCTCGCGTGCCCCAAACACCAGGTAGTCGACACCTACCGACATGACTCAGTCCACTTGTCAGTGAATTCATGGATTTGTACCGTGTTTTGGTCTTACCCTCCTAACTTTCTCCTAACCTACTCCTACACCACAAAACATTGCTCGTTGAGGCAGTCGGTGATGGGGCATAGGCAACACATGTCCCAACCACCTCAACTGATGAAGTTTCAATACTTCATATGATCGAATACTACTAGCCTAAGAATATCCTCTATTTTTAAAGCCCATATTTCACACTCGTAAATAACGACGAAGCAAACCGCTGCACAGTAGACTCGTCTTTTAGTCAGTAAACCAGTACCTCGCCTACTCCATAAGTGACGCGAATTGGCAAAAGCCAACCGGGCCTTCTGTATCCTTGCTGAGATTCTGTCACACACCGGACGATCACTACTGATATAACTGCCAAGCGTGTCGACTGCTTCACTCCCTATCATTACTAGTTCGGGTGCTGATGCAAGCCAATCCTGAAGCAACATTTTGCATTTCAAGGGGGAGAACTGCAAAATGTTGTAACCTTGTTAGATCAATGTAATCTTTCAATAGAATTCAATCACTTCTAAGACCTAAATAACATGATATTGATTAGCGTTCAGTAAGTAATCGATTAGTTTAAAGCCTATCTTATTGAAAATGTTGTATTTTTTTTTCTCAAAAAAAAACAACCCTCTCTCTCTAGTATCTAAACTTAGACGTGGTCGAGAAACTTATCAACTATCAGAAATACAAGAAATGGTACGTGGTAAAAAAACCAAAGAATCAATAAAACGAACTAGTATCAACCATGCAAAACATTCCAAACCATTAATATTGGAACATTCAATGCGTAAGAAAATTACAACTTCTGCTAAAATTAATCAACAAGATGATAATTTGAATAAAATCTCGTTACCTACTACTGGTACCAATATTATGAGTAGTAATAGTGGTAGTAGTGGTAGTGTAGGTGGTGTCATTACTGGTCCAGTAGATAATCCAGCTTTTGAAAATGAAGAAATCATTGTGAATACAACTTCCACAAATCCACCGATCGATTTAAATGGAAAACAACTAGAAAATCCAATGTCAGTTTTAGATCATCAACACAATTCAATATCGGATGATTTAGTAAGTGTTCACTGATCTGTTGGAATTAATTATGTTTAATCACTATCTCACTGTTTTATATATGAGATAAATAATTTGTTATAAATATATCATAAATTAAGAAGGTCACTATCGTCAGTGATGAATTTCTCTTAATCGATAATCGATTGACTTCAGAGATTATGATTTTCTATGGGAATGAAAGCTAGGCTTACAAGGGACTAGCTTTGTGGGGTGATTCTCAGAGTTCTAGTGAGAAGCTGTGACCAGTGGAATTCAACCGTGTCTGGTGTAGGCGAGGTTCCGCAATACCGTCGATTGATCAAAGTTAGACATTAACACCGCTGAGTGCCGGCCATGTCAGTGGTCTAGAGGTTAAGCGTCTGTGAGCGAGGCCAAAGGCCCTAGGTTCGATTCCCACTTGCGGGGATTGTCAATGCTCACTGCTGATGAGTCCCATACTAGGATAAAATGGCCTTTCAGTACTTCTAGATTTCTAATGGTGGTCTAACAATGATTGATTCGTGTATTTCAATTCAAGCTAGTTATTAGCAAACTTATTTCTGTTAATATATACGGATTATAGTGAATTGTTTAGTTTGATATTGACCTTAATTACGAGTAGAGATTAGTTTGGAGATTCTTTTAAATTTAACTTCCTGAATGTGTGATTAATTAAATTGGTAGCTTATGTTCAATTTCAGTAAATCAATGTTTGATTTATTTCACTCACCGAGTAACTTCTTTGTTCCAATGTTACACATGCACGTAAACACGTCATTTCGATAGGTTCGAACTATTACGTGTTTACCTTAGTCGGAAAACGAGAGTGAGAATCGAGGATCCGTTGACACTACTGGCTACTCTAATCCGATTGTCCCAACCCCCCCCCATTGAGTAAAAGAAGAAGACTTGATATGAAGTAGAACCCGTATTCTACAAGCATCCAGAAAGTACGAGGTCCGAGTCCAGAAGATAATCAGGATCCCGGATTAGGGATCCGGGTCTGGGTCATATAACGTTACAGATAATGCGTATTTATACAGTTAGGTTGAATAGGAAACAACATTTGAAATATGTGACGTTGATAGTTGTGATGACCAATAAGAATTGACTAATAGAATTAGACTTACCAACAATTATATCTTAGGATATTGGATGAATATCCTGACACCCAAAATTATTGCTGAAGTGTAGAGTGACGAACTTGTTGTTATAAGGCTAATAATTCCGAGGTTATCAGTTTTTGGACCCTGTCGCAACGTACATTTGTATTTCTGTTCGAAGAATTTATTTCGTACTGTTGTAGCGAAAGAGAACACAGGTGGGGCAATCGAATTGTATTTAACGGAAATTACAGAGTTACTCAGTAAAATTGGAAAACCATATCGTAAATCGTTCATTTGCAAAATATCAGTTCATCCTATCGAGCTGGGTGCTGTTCCTGTTGCAAAACATCAATCCATTGTCACTATTCATGCGTTTCATACAAATTCCATTGTTTTCTAACTCTTCCTTTCTTGATCTTCCCCCCATCTTCTGCTGCCAGACATTACGTTGACACTCACGTCATATACTACTTATAAGTAGCTCACATCACACTGTGTTTTTTCCAGGTTTAAAGCATTTTAAACGTCTTTTTCTTTTTAAAAAATAATCCTATTTCAGACAAATCAACAATTGTATCCTACTATTATTCCATGTACAAGTACTGTAATATGTGAAGAAACGATAGTTAACCAAACTGATTCAAAATTCAATCTATCTTCAAATCAACCAGTTGACAAACAACTACAACAAACAAATTTAAAACAACCGCCATCTTCTCAATTATCCAGTAAAACAATAACATCTTCAATAGTAAATACAACAAAAGATGATATGACATCATCTCATTCAAAAAATCTACCATCTATAAATGAAACTGACAATGACATAGATAATAAGTCACAATTCATGCAAGATATTATTGTAGATAAAAGAGAAAATATAGAAAATGAAATCCAGATGAAATCAATTTCCAATAAACAACAATTAATTGATCAGAAAAATATTTTGAAACATTGTAAATTGAACAAAACTCATCATCAGCAGCAGAAGCAGAAGCAAACAGATGATTGTTCACCGATAAAAAATCAACGTAGTGACATTGTTTAAATGAATATTTATTTTTATGTAAATGATACAAAAACAAGACAATCAATGAACATTTAAACATCTTTTTAACCTTTGAGTTGTTTTTCTTCTTTGCAACTTTTATCCTGCTGGATAAAAGTTGTTTTTAATGAAATAAAATGAAAGAATTTATTGGAATTGTTAGTTTTTATTGGGTTCGTCACTTTGTATGCTTGATGCTATTACGAGGCTATTACCTTAGTCGATAAACGCGAACGAGACAATGAACCAGCGTCCAGGTAGGCTACCTTGAATCTAAACGTTAAAACAGAAGTCTTGGTAAGCGTAGAAAGTATATTCTACAACAACACCCAGCAATCACAACAGTACAATCAAGCAAACAACTCTCGTTTATTTATACATCATAGAAACGTCCTTGGAACAGTTAAGAAAATAGCACACTAAATAGTACACAGCAGCCAATCACAGCCATGGATTTTCGTGGTGGGAATTAAAATCTCAAGGTCAACTGATCAGCCCATGCTGGCAAACCTGAAAACCAAAATAAGGCATTTATCAAGCGAATTTTGGGGATCTAACATCCCCGACAGTTTTTTTCTAAGAAATAATTTCACAGAAATCAAACGTTGATCATTGTGTTGGGCCGCTATTAGAAACTTTAGACAAATGGATGGCTGTTTCGTTCCTAGTATGGGACAAAATTAGCAGTGTACATCAATGACATAGTGGAAAAAATTTGTAGCTCATGTGGAGGATTGTGGTGGTGTTTCGTTCACGACGCCACGATAATTCTTCGTTTGTATCAATACACACCGACAATTATGGAGATACATTCGATTGGAATAATGTGGAAATACTGGATAGGGGTAGGACAAAGAATACTAGAGAATTTTTAGAAGCTTGGCACTAAGGTCAATTAGCAATCAACAAATACATCGATATTGACCCAATTTATCAACCAATCAGGAAAATCATAGGTGACATAGGATCAAGTAACAGATCAAAAGGGGGATACAATCAAAATAAAGGTGCAAACAACGACAGGTTTAAGGTCAACAGCAACAAATCAAGATCTGGGTTAACAGAACAAGCTAAAGTCAAACGTGGAGAAATTCCAATGCTTCACTTCTATCTGAAGTTTGTGCTGATGATATTGTTCAAAAAAACAATGAAAGCTTCACAACCAACGCATCCAGCTCAGAGAACGAAACACGACCACGTAAATCAATGGTGCCCGCAGGCTGACATCGAACCAAAGACCTTCGGTCTCTCACGCGAGCTCTTAACCTCGAGACCACTGAGCTGGCCAGCATCCAACAGTGCTAATATTAAACTTCAATCAATCCACAATATTGCACGACCTCATCCATTGTCTTCGGTGGGTAACTTCCTCTCACCGTACTGGGTTGAACTCTACTCATCACAGCTTCTCATTAGAACTCTGTGAATTCCCTAACGAAACTAGTCACTAGTACAAGTTAGACATCAACCAAAGTAAATGGTTGATTGCAATCCTAAATATCAGTGAGAAGACTCAAAGAACCAACATAAAAACCAATCAAGTACAAAATTAATTCTTTAAAAATTTATTTGTTTCTCAATAGTTTCAGAGTTTGAATAATATGACTCAAAATCGCTTGAAATAGTACACGTATATTCATTCTTTGTAATGAGATATGACAACTTGTAACTGATGTGCGTGTGTACCAGGGTTCTATTTTGTAACTTCTCGGAATGTAAATTCTAATTATTCAGTCAGTCAGCTAACACGTAGAATTTTGTATGTTCGTACATCAGTTCAAGTGTCCATACTACAATGGCACAGAGAGTTAGAATGGACATTTAACATATGAATGATCTAGGTGTTCTATCCCACACACGGCAACCAACGCAAGTGAAAACGGTCAGTGTATCAGCAGCCTCTGCAGTAGAGTATCTCGACGTAAGACAGGCACCAACCAAATAACTCTTCATACAAAAGCTTTGGAAGATATGGTCAGCATCATTCATTGATGAGCAAAGCGGATCTGATGCAGATGTGAAGACATGGATTATCAGAACAAAGGCAGCATTCCTACAACTAAAGAACATCTGCAACTCCAAACAACTATCAACCAGCACCAAAGTTAGAATTTCCTATTCAAACATCAAGTTCGACTATATTAAGCGAAAGCACAGAGAAGCAGGAAAGTCATCATTCACACGATACTACAGACCAATTGACCAGATATCATCAACAACAACCTACTGTGGGATAGAATAAACCATATTTCAGCAGAGGGAGAAATCAGGAAGAAGCATTTGGAGGTGGATAAGACACAAGTTGAGGAAAGCACCCAACTGCACCACAAGACAAGCCCTTATTTAGAATCCTCAAGGTAAAAGGAAAATTCATTGACCAAGGAACATACTTCATTGAGAATCGGAGACAGCCATTTAAAGTATGAACAGCAATCAATTAAAACCTAAAAGGAATTACTCAGGACAGAATTGATTGCAGAATGCTGGTTGGTGGTCTACGATTTATTAGGTGTAACAGGGCGTAACTCAAATTGTAAAAATATTACAATTTTTATTGATTAGTAGTTGAATATAGACAGATTAAACATGCAGATCAGATTGAATCATAACGATAGGTATGTTGAGTTAATCAATAAATACTATTGAACATAACAAATTGTATGTTTATTAGGGAAAAAATAATCCGTTTTTAGCTGTTTAGTTTTACAAAAAAAGAAAACGTCTCATTCATTTGCACAGTTTATAAGAAAATATATCATGGCTCAAAATCGTTTGCAATGGCACAGATACATCCATTGTTTGTGTTCTCTCAAATTCTAATCTTTTGAATCCCTCATCACCTTTATCCTTTTTCGTTTTAAATCTGTTTCACTTGCCTTTACTTCTTGAATCAAATCTTCGATCGTTAATCTTTTCCATTATTGCTGATACTACTACTTCTACTACTATGGGATTTGAATTAACAATTCGATCACTCTTTGCTAACGTGATGTGGCAACTTGAACTGATGTACGGACGTACGACGCTCTACATGGTACTTGACTGACTGACATAACCAATACGTATAAACGATTACTTTTAAACAATAACCAATAAACAACAAGTATAACAGAACTGATACTTTATACCGTTACAGTTTGACCCAATAATAACTAAACCTGAACGTAGAGAAAGAACACAAGTTCAATGATCAAGATCTTTATTTTAGACATTCATTTATATACACACAAAATAGACCGTATCACACTGACAAGGGAAAAATTACAATGGGCAAAAAAAGTGTCTGTGAGTAGAGGGGGACTGTAAATACCTAGACTGTCAACAAAATCAGAATTGAATGAATTGAACGATCATATTTGGGGTGTTTTTATGGAAAGCTTAATAATATGACTATGTATACAAATAATAATGATCGATGAATTAGTTCTTCAAGTTACTTACTTACGTCTGTTGCCCCTAGTAGATAGAGTCTAGGCCACCGACCAGCATTCTCCAAGTAACTCTGTTCTGGACCTACCTTTCTTGTTCTATCCAACTGCCTTTTATTCTTTTCAAGTCTGCTTCTCAGTCAGTCAGTCAGTCAGACGCAACGTAGAATTTCGTACGCAAGTACATCAGTTCATGTTGCCCTATCTCACAGATTTCCGTCTCCGGTGGTAAGGTTGCCCACTAAGGGCTTTCAAGAGCGGAGCTAATACTCAATTCTGCTTCTGGGTCTTCCTCTTTTCGTTTGACCTTGAGGATTCCAAGTCAGTGCTCGTTTGGTGACGCAGTTGGGTGCTTTCCTGAATATGTGTCTTACTCACTTCCAGAGCTTTTTCCTAGATTCTGGTTTATTCTCTACCACAGTAGGTTGTTGTTAATGGTGTCTAAACAACGGATCTGCAGAGTATTGATTGTGTAAACAACTGTATAATAAGCACAGGCATTTTTTGGATGGTAGGTTTTGGTAATTTTTCGAGTTTCGGCTGTATACGACACAACTATCTTGACGTTCGTATTGAAAATTCTGACTTTGTTGTTGGTTGTAAGACAATTGTTTTAAGGTCTAACGATTCTTCAATTGTGGAAATGATGTCCTTTGTTTACATTACTTATTTCAATATGGTAGAGCTTTCAAACAATTTGTTATTTTGTGGTGAAGGAGAACACAAGTGAGGGCAACCGAATTGCATTTATAGAAAATTACAGAGTTACTCAGTAAAATAGGAAAACCATATCGTAAATCGTTAATTTGCAAATCTTCAATCCATCATCAATCCATTGTCTGACATTTCACTTATTTATGCATTTCATACAAATTCCATTGTGTTCCCACTCTTCCTTTCTTGATCTTCCCCCATCTTCTGCTGCCAGACATTACGTTTACACTCGCGTTATATACTACTTATAAGTAGCGCGCACCACAATTTATCTAAGAATGTAGTCATCATTAGGAAGTAACCAAGTAAAACATCATACTACTGTACTCACAGCTTTCTTTCTTCACACTCACTTTAATAACAATTTACTGTAAAGGATAGACAAAATTATCGATAGTTAAATGCTAGAAAAGTAACACACATTTTTACTTTCGATTAATAATTGAAATGTGTAGAGATAACTGTGATGACATTCTGAAGAATTTTGTTAGTTTAGAATTTTTTTGTTGAATCCAATTCGATCGATAATTTACGATTATTATTTATTAGTTAAACGTTAAAAACTTTGTTCGTTCTCTACGTAATCGCAGGTCACACGATTTGCATTCGTGTGCGTGTGTGTGTGCGCATGTATCAAGCAAGGGGTCATGTCTCAGTAGTGCACTGAGTAGTATGATAAAGTTTCACCTTTTTATTCAGCTGATTTCGTAAACACTCATACTTGTGTAGTGAAGGAGAACACCGGTGAGGGCAGCCGAATTGTATTTAACGAAAATTACAGAGTTACTCAGTAAAATCGGAAAACCATATCGTAAATCGTTCATTTGCAAAATATCAGTTCATCCTATCGAACTGGACTGTTCCTGTTGCAAAACATCAATCCATTGTCACTACTATTCATGCGTTTCATACAAATTCCATTGTGTTCTTCTAACTCTTCCTTTCTTGATCGTCCCCCCATCTTCCGCTGCGAGACATTACGTTGACGCTCACGTCATATACTACTTATAAGTAGCTCACACCACACTTGGATCATATGTGGATATTTGAAAAAAAACAACATAACATAACTTGCATTTGTGGAGTGAGAATGTTTGAGTTCTGATAAAAGATTTACTGTTTACTCGACTGTTTACACAACTGATAATGTGATTTGAAGAGACTATGGAAAAAATGTGTTTCGTACGCTCACATCGTTAAAACAAAGGCAGTAGTGTAAAAAGTTACAGGGATTGTGATTGTTGATTGCAGAAATTTATGTAAAAACAAATTGAAAAAGGCAGATTGCTATTCAGAAGAGTAGATAACTTTCCCAATCTTGTAAAAACATAATGCGTACTTAATTAATACGTACGTACTCGTGTTCTAATTCACCATTCAGCATCATTTACCTCCGAATCGTAGGTATGTCTTACTGTCAAGTACAAACCATCAGATAACTTAACTCCTCCCAACTAACTCCAACCACTGGACAACATAAGCGCCCGTACATCTTGTCAAATCTGCCAATGATAACTACTTCAGGTCTAATTCAAATTAGGGTTTCGGAAATTGTCAAGTTCCATTGAAATCATGAATTGATCAATATTAGACCACCATTAGAATCCTGGAGGTCAAGCGTTCACGCGCGAGACCGTAGATCCTGGGTTAGATCTCCGCAAGTAAGGTTCGTGGATGAGCACCGTTAATTTGATCATATACTAGGACGAAACAGCCCTGCAGCGCTTCCAGGTTTCCGATGTCAGTTTAACGGATTGATAATTCCAATGAAATTTATTAATCATTCAAACGAAACTATATACAATATGCCCCACTCAATATCCCAAGTGTAGTCATAACACGAAATTTCACTGATTTTCTTGCATACCTTTAATTTACTAACTGTAAGTACTCGATTTAAACTATTCAGTCTCATGTTTTGAGCTTATAAAGTACTAAATGATGAAAGAAATAGCAGTAAATATTGATTTTGGTTTATTTACGGGGAACTTATACCAGGGGGAAGTAAGCACAGACTCTTATCATCATGTTTAAGGGATGTTGAGTATTCATGACACTAAAAACATGTCAATAGCTATTGCTCTAAAAATTCTTCAGTATCAATTAAGTTATTTACGCTCGACATTTAGAAATTTGGACAAAGTATTAATATACACTGAGCCAAAGAGGTGAAGTAGTAACAGTAACAGTGAGGAGAGATTGTAGTCTGAAAATAAGAACGGACGTCAAAATATAAGTAACATTTATAACAAGACAAATTAGTATAACTAAAATATTGTGGCTAACTCTTGGACATTTCATCTCTGCCTCCCCTAATCAAGAAGTCTGTATTTCTTCCTACTCTGGTACGGTCAGGAGTGGGGAGAGTTTGCTTTTCAGCTAGAAGTGTTTCAATATGGTCATGTAGATATAGCCACTACCAGGAATTTCTTACTCACTATCTTCTCATGTCAGGGGTGTTGATCACGAAAATGAGAGGATGAAAAGCGAGTGTCCGGTGCCTTTAGCCGGTTGTTAGTTGTGATGGACTCACACTGGAGTTGCAAAACCCTAGTCCCAAGCCAGTGGCGCACATGGCGTCCAGAACCCTGACGGACCTAACGGTGTGTGAGCCTATTGTTAGTCGCTGGTTACTATAGGACCGGATATTCCAGCGTTGCTTCACTGCCTTCTGGATCAGACCATTCGGTCAAAGGCCCAGGGAGCAGTCCCAATAAGGCCATCAGTTTCGGTTTAGGTACCCTTGCGGTATCCGAACTCACACACAAATTCACTGATTTGTGTGGCGCATGTTTAGGTGCCCCGTTGTACCAACAATTATGTTTAAATAAAAATTTTTAAAAAAAACATTATGTCACATATGAACTGATATCGTATCCCGATTTAAATGTCAATAACCTTGTCCTAATATATACTTTAGTCAACAATAACAGTTTACAGTAAACAATGATTGATTATGCGCACATAACTTTGATAGTTCATAAAACTTGTTTATAGTCAGATGATACCATGACGATTACAAAAAATACTGAAATTATGAACCGATCAATAGTAGATCACCATTGGAAATCTCACAGCACTGGACAGCCGTTTTGACTTAGTTCGAGACTCGTCAGCAGTGTGAATCCGCTAGCCATTCTCGAGTCCAAAACCTTCGACTCGCGAATACTTAACCTCTGGACGGTTGAGTCGGTATTTAATGGTGTTATTGTCTAACTTGAATCAAGTCACGATAATCCGCAACCTGATCTATTGTATTCGGTCGATAACTGCCTAACTGGTCACAGCTTCCCTCACGAAGAATAGTCCCTAGTGAGCACATGATAATTGTCATCATAGTGTTGAAACTAAACATTAACTACGTTAGATGTCAGCTCAGTACATACGTATATTGCTTGTCTTAGATCATAGGTGTCTCCGAAGCATTGCTCGTATATCTTGGGACAACCGAGTAAGCAATGCGGTCGTTAGGAAACGAGTACTAGCTAGGGATGGCAAATCAATAGATGAAGTATTGAAGCTTCATCAGTTGAGGTGGTTGGCACATACGTTACGAATGTCTTACCACCGACTGCCTCGACGAGCTTTGTTTTGAAGTGTAGGAATAGGTTGGAAGAAAGTTAGGGGCGGCCAGACCAAAACATGGCACGAATCCACTGACAAGTGGACTGAGTCATGTTGGTAGATGTAGGCTACGTGGTTGGGGTCTGCGAGACGAAAGTCATCAATGGTTGGAGACCTTGAACGACATGGATCAAAATCTTTTGCAATGGTGCAGGTGCATCCACTCTTTGTTCTCTCTAATTCTAACCTTCTGAATTCCTCATAATCTCTGTCTTTCTCTCACTAAATTCATCTCACTGAATTATACTTATCGAATTATGCCTTCCCTCTCTAATCTTCTCCATTACTGCTAAAACTTCTACTATCGCTACCACTACTGGATTTGAACCGACAATTGCGTCTCTGTGCTAATGCTGTATGGCAACCTGAACTGATGTACATGCGTACAAAGTTCTGTGTTGTATCTGTCTATCTCAGCTCAGTGGTCTAGTAGAGTCTAAGTGTTCGCGATCCAGATCAAAGGTCTCAAGTTCGATTCTCACCTGCAAGCTCGTAGATGCACAACTATTAATGAGTCCCATACTCAGACAAAACGACCGCTCAATACTTTCAGCCTTCTACTAATGGTAGTTAGTGTGCTGTAACATTGATTAATTCATGATACCAATCAAATTCACTCAATCAATCTAAACACTTATACAACCTGATTAGAAGTCGATCTTTTTAATAACAAATAAAAAAATCCAACAAAAATCACAGCTTCATTAATTTATTACATTGAGATAACTTCATTTGTCAAGTGACTACATGTTTTTTCTTCAACATATTATTTAAACGTTATACAACATACATACTTACATACATGATACCATAAATTACATCATACATGTTGTCGATTGTGAATAAACAATCATGAAGTAGGTAGTGTATACACTTTGTAGTACATTATTCTCTCTCTCTCTCACTGTGTGTTTGTGGGAATTTTAAAGTACAGAAGCCGGGAAATAGGCATATGCGTATATGCATCTATATATATATATATATATATATATATATATATATATATATATATATATTGAGCTATAAAATAAATTTAATTAAGTAAATGTTAGAAAGGACAAACAAATTAGGCCAGGGCGGGGTGAGGAGAGCAAAAAACAACACAACACACTAATTTTTTAATACAAAATAATCATATCTGAACAGAAATGTAAAAGAAGCAAGAAAAAATGAAAAGAAACAAGAAAAGAGAAAAGAAAAGAATGGAAAGAAGAAAGAATTGAAATTTTCTCGTCAAAAATAATAAAGGTTGAAAAGAAAGAAAACATGCCTTCTTTGTATGCCTCTCTCTGTATGTGCATATATATATAAGATGTAGTAGTAGTAGTAGTAGTTTTTGAGAGAGTTAGACAATATATATAAATAAACAAGTAGAGAAACAAAATAAAATCAACAAAATTGTACAATGAACAATGCTCTCATCTGTTTTCATATTTCTACTACTATATATGAATTTCTGGTGAAGTTGGAGCATTCAACTGGGGTAATAGAGTTGTTGTTGATTTTGTTGATGGTGACGGTGACGGCGACGATGATGGTGAAGGAGTTTTAGGAGGTTTCATTTTACCAGCCAATACAGCTATCACTTCATCTTTAGTTAATGTTTCAAAATGAAGTAATGCTTCAGCTAGAAGTTTATGTTGTTTACTTTGACTTTGTAGTAAAGTGCGAACACGTGTTAATGAATCATTCAACAGTTCATCAACTTCTTTATCAATTAAATCACGTGTTGCTTGACTTAATTGTCCATCTGATGTGTCCGGTATAACTCTTGGTCCAATTTTATTAGAAAAACCAAAACGTTTCACCATATTTTGAGCTAAAGCTGTTGCTTTCTATAAATCAAATAAATAAATTAATTAAATAATTAATTAATTAATTAATTTAATTAATTAAGTCATTTGAAACATAGAACTTCGTATGTATGTACATAAGTTCAGGTTACCACACCACATTAACGCAGAGACGCAAATGTCAAATTGTTAGTGGGATACAGACGGAATTAAAGCATGACTACGTTGCTGCGCGCTGATTGGCTAATTTCCTATCCAATCAGCGTCTGATCAAATCTTGGAGAACGAGGTAGAAAATTCTCGTATTGTTAGCTGCACGCTGATTGGTTAAATCTAATCAAGTCGATTACGTGAATTTTTTTCCAGAAGCTTTGTCATGTAAATGCTATAAATAGAGTAGCGTTGTATCTATCTTGGCCTTCTTGCCTTCCTGCCTTCGCCATCACCTCTGGCTTCTCATTCCTTGCTATTTTGGAATATAATCTTTTCCTGTTCAACCGTGTTTTTGATTCTTGGGAACTTGTCCAGTGTTTTGTGGTCAGAGAATACTAAGCAATAGGATTTAGCTAGAAAATATCCAAGCAAGCGTTACAACACAAATCAAATCCCATAGTGATAGAGATAGTAGAGGTATTAATGGTAATGAAGAAGACTAGGGTTTGAAGATATTATTCAAGAAGTATAATTCAGTGAGTGAGATAAGGTTAGAAAGACAAAGGTAGAGGAGGTGCTGACGAATCCAGAAGATTAGAATTTGAGAGAGCTCAACGAGTGGATGCACTTGCGTCACTGTAAATTATTCTGAGCCATGTCGTTGAAGGTCTCTAACCATTGGTGACTATCGTCTCGCGGACCCCAACCAGGTAGTCTACATCTGCCAATGTGACTCAATCCACTAGTCAGTGACTTCATGGATTTCTGCGATGTTTCGGTCTGGCCGCCCCTAACTTTCTTCCAACCTATTCCTACACCACAAAACATAGCTCGTCGAGGCAGTCGGTGGTTATGCATACGTAACACATGTCCCAACCACCTCAACTGATGAAGTTTCACCACTTCATCTATTGATCTGCCATCCTTACCTTGTACTCGTTTGCTAACGACTGCATTGTTTACTCGGCTGTCCCACGATATACGAGCAATGCTTCTAAGACATCTATGATCAAATACTAGTAACCTACGAACATGTTTTACTCTTAACGGCCATGTTTCACAGCCATATAGGAGAACGGAGCGAACTGCTGCGCAGTACAAATAGATAAGTAAATAAATAAACGAATAATGAAACAGAGTAAGTAATTAAATTGAAAAAAAACGAGAATAAACCTGAACATGAAAATGTGAATATGAATGGGAATTGCACACATGGTAGGGGTAGGGTATGGTGTCTTAAGTTAGTAGTTTGAGGCCTCTGAGCATTAGTAGTAGTACATATCTATGATCCCATTGGCAATTGAACCGAAGACTTTTAGGGAACATTGCGTTACCATACTATGGGTTTATATTTCTAACTTCAATCGACTCAAATTCGACATAGTTGAATTCAACTGGTTGCACCTTCTTACTAGGACTTTAGGAGAATGCCTTTCTGAAGTTAGTCACTAGTGAACATACGATTACTTGTAGTATAAGAGGTTTGTAAGGTTAGTTTGACATTACAGATTGACTGACGTAACAGAATTGCTAACGATCACGAGACAATGAACAGTTGCCCCAACCTTGTGTATAAGATTCCTACAGAGGGATAGACATTCATGATTCTATCAAGCATTGGATCAAGAACCTTCAGACTTTGTGAAAAGTTACTGAGTCTTTAGACAGACCGATACAACGCAGAACTTCGTACATAAGTAGCTGCTACCTTGACGTGGTGATCGGGCTTGCCAATCGTGATAACCCAACCGAGCTATACTGGCTAGAACACATGTTCCTGAAGGTTCTACCATGCCAACCAGGTCGATTGGAGAACGATCAGACTAAAAGCAGCTACTCAAGGTCTGAGGGCGAAGTCGTACTGCTGACTGCAGATGGGTGTGACAGCAGTAAGGTGTTTCCCTCGGACAACCAGCATCTGCAGCGATGCTGCCTTCTCACAAGGAAGGAAGGGTTAGAAAAGGTCGGCCCTAAAAATGTCACAACTCATCCTACCTCCGGCGATAAGGGTGCCCACTAAGGGCTTTCAAAAGCGGAGCTAACACTCAAAAAACTTCTCATAAAAAGGTCGTGCGTGACCGGCCTCAAGCAGTTATCCCTTGGACTCTGCGGTCACGCACCCAGGTCTCTAAGACCAACTCTAATCTATCTTCCTTTTCAGGTTCCTCAAGAAACAACCTTCCACGGTGTGGGCAGCCTGGAAGTGACAACCGCCCTCATACCCGTAGCAACACGCGAGACCAAATTGGTCAAAATCAAATCCTCCCTACTTGGTCTTTACACCATCAAATTGATATCCATTGGTATCTTTCAGATGAAAGTCACATAATAACAGTGAATTAACTAAAATTCAGACATAATGAACAATTTTTGTTTTTTTTTTAAAAAAAAAAAGTTAACTCACTCGAAAATCATCTGCTGCACCAGTAGTCACTTTATCTGTACCGAAAGCTAATTCTTCACCAACTCGACCACCCATTAATACATCTAATTGTGCTAATAATTGTGAACGAGTCATAAACACCATATCTTTCTCTTGTAGAAAACTAGTCAGACCACCTGCTTCACCACGTGGAATAATTGTAACCTGAAATGATTGATGCAAAAAATAATAATAACAATAATAAATATAACGAAGAAATATCCATTTCTATGATTTATGAATTCGTTTTGAACTATCTAAAACATGGCTTTCATTGTGTGGGCAGCCGGGAAGTAACATCCGCCCTTATACCCATAAAAGCACACGAGATCGAATTGGTCACAATCAAATCCTTTCTACACCTTCTAACAGCTCTCTTATCTCCTCAACTAACCCTTCCATCGATCGTTTGTTACCACGCACCACTGAAACAAACGGTTTGAGCTCACGAAGCATTATTCCTGGTCTCCTGAATGCCCGCAACGGCGCAGATGCATTCATTCTTTGTATTCTCTCAAATCCTAACCTTCAGAGTTCCTCATCACCTTTATTTCACTAGATTTTACTTCTTGAATAATATCGTCGAAGCCTAATCTCTCCGATTACTGCTAATACCATTACTACCACTACTACTATCGGATTTGAATTGACAATTACATCTCTGTGCTAATGTGATATGGCAACTTGAACTGATGTAGTTACATACGGAGTTCTACGTTGCTGTTGATTGATTGATCTAGAACATGGGGATCGTTGAGAGATTAAAGTGAAGATAGCGAAAAAAAACCGCACGATACACAATATTTATGATCATAACATAATACAGCGGTGGACCGCACTGATGTGAATCAATAAAACAACACGAAAAACTTATTTTGGTATCAGATTATCGTGAAGATCGGTGTTTTACATTGAAACCATGAATGAATCATTATTAGACTACCATTAAAAACCTGGAAGCACTGGGAGGCCGTTTCATTCGGGTGTGAGACTTATTATCAGTAGTGCGCGTACACGATTCTTGCTACCCGCAGAGTTCGAAGTCAGGATCTTCAGAGTTCAACATTAACACAGTTGAATGCCGGCTCAGTAGTTCAGAGGTCGTGTTCGCGCGCCATATAGGAGTCGTGGATGAGAACTCTTGATGAATCCCATATCAGGACGAAACGGCCTTCCAGTGCTTGCAGGTTTTTAATGGTAGTCTAACAATGATTCATTCATGATTGGATAATTCTAAAGTGTAACTGCTCGACTATTTAGTTACTTTCGCCTATCACCCCACGTGGAGCATAGGCCGTCGACTAGCAATCATCAACCTATGTTGTCTTGGGCTCGATCCTATTTACCTATATTAATTGCTGCTCTGATAGTCAAAAAGGGCATTGGTCTCGCGACTTGAGATCAACAATAACTTTAGAAGGGCTTTGAGTGGAGTTTATCTATTCCATAGGATATATAAAATAGTATTCATAATTATTGCTGTAATAAGAAAACAAGATGACAACAGTAGATAGATTGATGAGATGTTAATCACTTCGGTATGTTGTTGGTTTGTATAATAAGAGTAAACTAGAAAAAGGCATAGGCTTTATCTCGTGAATTTAGTGTAATTTTCAGTTAGAAATCGTTGACAATATTCCATATGTTTAGTTTCATATTGTAATTTACTACTAGTGTAG